GAGCCCCACTTCCTGCGGAGGTGAGCTAGTTATCACACTGGATTACTGAAAATCATCCATTGCCTCTTAAGTCAGAAGTTCTCATCTCTATCTCTGTGTCTGTAGGGTCACTTGAGTGTGTGGACACTGAAAGTTGGTTGTGACCAGTGGGAATCATGCTACAAAAAAATTAGGCAGCGATGTGAATTGAACATGTCAGAAAGGCCACAGACAGATAAGCTGTAGCTCACAGCAGGTTGTGAGGTGAGGCAGCAAACCTGGAGCTGGTGGTCGAGTCTGGGAAGCATACAAGTCCTTCCACAATGAGGTTATGGATGGGATGTGGAAGCTGGGACCACAGGATTTACAAATCTGGAGCTATCACAGATTCATGAGAATAAAATATACTTATGTAATGCTTGTATTGATGGTGTAAAAACAAAGGAGTGGTTCCTATCTGGGGAATGATGTTCCTGAATGTAGACCATGAGTGGCAAATCAGCCCTGCTGTGGTGTGCATTTAGAGGCAGAGTGGCAAGTGTGTGCACATGGTTGTCTGTGCATTTGTGCACCTGGGTGTGTTCTGTAAGGCATGTTCTATCCTGTTGATCAGGATGCCATTTTAGGACATCCTCCTAAACATCTGTTTCCATGCTCATTATCCAGTGTTGAGCACCAACAGCTACTCAGCGGCCAAAAGACAAGACTTGGTTCTGAGCACCGGACCCCTTGCTTTCTCAAACGGTGTCGCCAGTGGATGGTCTGAGCTAAACTCTCTTCAACACCACCTCAGCTTTCACTGGCTTCTCATCTTGGTCGTGGCACATTTTCTCCTATTTAGTTCCCCACTGTTACACCAGACTTGACCCCCTCCATACAGGTATCCCCAGCACTTTCTGTTTTACTCCTCAGGCTTGAACTGCTAGCTCCTACTTGGCACCTGACCCAAGGGCAAGGGTTACCTTGTCACAACCCAAGTGACTGCAAATGTTTCATGTACAGTGCACCAGTGCACCAAAAAGTAAAGACTGGGCATAAGCCTTGTGGATAAAGGGCTCTGCTGCCCTGTCTGGGGAGCATAAACAGGGTATCTGTGCTGAGGCAATGCTCTACCAATGGATTTTTCCTTACCTGACACGTAAGCACATGGTACCGTGGGTTTCCACATGGCGTTGCCTTGTGGAGCAGTTTTTAGAATTATCCATGTAGAATATTATGCATATTGCTGCCATAACATCAGCATAGGATTTCGGCACTACTGAAAGCAGGCAGTTTATAGCAACCACCACTACCAGATTCTGACCCCAAGCCTCATGTGTGGGTTATATAATTTAAGATGAACTTTCTATAGGCTGCATTTAAGTGCAGGCATAGAACATCTACAGGGAATTTACAGTTTTCTCCCCTGAAAAGCAGAACATCAGTCTGCTTTGTTTCTCTCCATAACAAATATGCAAATGTAGTTTGCATAGAAGGATGTTTCTCTTTTGGCTGAGACCACCACAGTTTCTTGTCCAGCTTTTGAGAGCTTTCTGTAGTGACATTTGAGCTAGTAACTAAGGCTTGAACACCTTTTCCTGAGGGAAATGCAGTACCAGTGAACTAGTGGGCCATTCTAGTCTTGAACCTGCTGAGTTCAGTGCTATCTGGGTCCCTCCATGGAGGTGCCAATAGGAGGTCAGATATGAGTCGAGAGCTGAGAAGGGAGCCTGGGCTACGGACATGAACTTGGAGATCTCAGAGCTAGTCTAGGAAGTAAGCAGACGGGATGGAATGAGGACAAACCCATGAGAGAAGCCAGGATAAAGCCAGAGGAGAAGCAGAACCACAGACAACACTGGCAGGAACAGGGTTGTGCAGCCGACAGGCCACTGAGTAAGCAAGGAAGCCTGGAGACACCCCGAGAGGAGTCACCCCCAACAGTCACCACAAGAGCCCGGAGACACCCCAAGAGGAGTCACCCCTGACAGCCACCAGAGAGCCTGGAGATACCCCGTGAGGAGTCACCCCTGACAGTCACAAGAGCCTGGAGACACCTCGAGGAGTCACCCCTGACAGTCACAAGAGCCTGGAGACACCCCAAGGAGTCACCCCTGAGAGTCACAAGAGCCTGGAGACACCCCGAGGAG